CAGTTTTTGAAAAAAAAGATGGAATTTGCAGAAGCAACCATCAGGTATTAAACATTTCAAACATTTTCCAAGGATGGTCTAACATCTGCAAAGTTATTTAGTAGAAAATGTTATGCAGATTTTATTTGCTACGGTACAGATGTAATTCAATCAAGAACACAGATTATATCTAAAAAAAATAACAGAAACCGTTGCATCTTCAGTCACTAATAAAGCAAATAACATTTTGGTACGAACTATCAGGATGTAAATGCAATGATGCCGAGAATCACGCACAGATGCATGCACCTGAACCAATCTGCTGGAAAAAACATGATATGCCTGCCCATATATATCAATATGCCATGATCAATTAAGCCCATAAATGTCTCAAATGCACAACGCATAATATGGCACGTCATATGCTTAATATAGGAAGGCAAAGAGGAAGCGCAGAAATGGAAGTGCAGCTCAAGATCCACCGAGAATTTCATCACAAACCCATCAAAGATGGAAACCTTACATATGGCTACTGACACAATTTGACTCGTCAAGATTTTTTAAAAATTTGGTATAAAATGAAAATGCATGTGTGAAATATTAAAAAAATCCAAGAAAATAGGTTTGCTTCACATGAAGTCATCAGAGATCTGCTGCATCAAAATGAAGTGATCAGAGAGTCATCATCAGCAGTAGTAAGTACCAGGTGATGAGGAGGGGCTCGTCAAGGTTGTTTTGGACGTTCACCCTCACGTTCTGGTTCGTCGTCACGTTCAAGAGAGGACCCGGGAATTGGTTGTTTATCCCAATCACCTGATGAACAAAAAGAAATGCGTGTTCTTAGAATTTTGCGTCTCAAGCCCCAAGCCTCAACCCACATGACGAAACTTCTCTAGTTTATTAGAAACAAAAAAAAATGACTGGAAAAACAGAGTACAAGATCTCAATATCTCATATTGATTGTTTGCCAAGAAAAAAAAATGAACCTTTGGGCTTTGAAATGGTTCGTTCACAAAAGAGAGATCTTTAGGCAGGCACACAGGGCAAGAAATATTTCGGCCATGCGCCACCAAAATCAAGTAAAATTTCGCCAAAAAGTCTGAAGAACACATATCACGAGCATAAAGGAGTCCTTGCAACATCGACGGCGGATTTATTTATTTTTTTGTTCCTGAGGAGCGCGAGCGCCGAGCGTTACGAAACCTTTACAAGACAACGAAATCGCAAACGAAGCGACGACGACGAAGATCGTTCGGCGAAACTGCTTACGCGAAGAAGAGAAAATAAAGGATGCGTTTTTAAGACAAGCACACGTCGATCGAACGAACAAACAAACGTCGCCAAAAATCAAAACATCTAAAACAAACATATGGCAATTCTTTTTTTCAAGACCTTACGAAGCCATGAGGTGTAAAAGGAAAATAGAGAGCGAAGAAAAAAACACGTAAAATTTTCCGGACAAATCGAAAAGTTTTTTTTTCCAGTAGAAATCAAGAACTTTCAGACAGCAGAGAACAAGAACAGGAAGAGGTCGAGACAGATAGGTGGTGACGACAAGTACGCGCCTTCTGCCCGGGGCCGAGGGGCTCCACGGTGAGGTACGCCACCTCCCAGCGCACCTCCGCCTGCGCTGCGGCCGCCGCCGCCACGACGGCCGCGAGCACCACGGCGACCGTCATCGCCGCCGCCATCGCCATGGGATGGTTCTCGCTTCTCCTGGGCTGTGTGGCGTGCGCGCCGCGCTCTACCTACTCCCTCTCGTACGTCCAGCGTACTCTCGTCTGCGCAGAGCCCTGCTTTGCTTTGCCAATGTGGGTTTTGGCCTCTCTCTCGTGGTGTGGGGTTTTTGTTGGGGGTATAAAAAAGTGGAAAAGAAGGGACGGAGAGCAGAGGAGAGATAAAAAGCAAATGTAGAGAGACACAAAACCAACACATGAATGTATGTCAGCAAAAGGAACTCTCAGAGATGCCATCTCTTTGTTTATGGCTAGAGATATATGATGATGTGTTGTGGTTTGGGTTTTGAAATTAATTATTGTGCAAAAAGATAGGGCAAGAGGTGTGTTTGAACCGTCCATGAAGTATCTGACGGTCGAGATTAGGCGCGTTAGTTGCCACCTTGGAGAAACGCATTTGCGCAGTTCGACGGATACGACATGACATGTGTTTATGGGACAAGTCGGTTACATATGTAGCGTGCGTTTATGGTATAAGACGGGTACATATGTGCGTATAGTCGTTATAGTTTGATGGTGAACATAGACAACTTAGAGCAGCTCCAGCAATCCGACCAATCCTTATCACATGAAAAAAAACTATAGGGTCCGTTCGCTTGTCTTAAATTTGGCTTGTTAGGCTTATTTTTTTAGCCGGAACAGTGTTTTTCTCTCACAACAATTCAAATTTTAACAATATTTTTCAAATTCAGGCCAAAATAAAAGTTCGATCAAATGAACGGGGCCATAGAGAGGGTCATGTGTGTGCATAGTAACAAATTAGTTAGGATGGTAAGACAATGTTCTTTTACACAAATGTCCTTATACCTAAGAATGCTTATTTTTCTTTCAGAGGGAGGGATTTGCAAAGACGAACATGAATGAGCAGGAAATCTCAAAGGTGCATTTTATTTATGGTTAAGGATAATGGTAATAATACAAAATAAAAAATGCATGATATTGTTTGTGGGTTTGAATTAAATGATGCGTAAAAAGATATTTCAAGTCATGTTTAGGGCTTTCCTAGTGAGTATTGATGGTCAAAATTAATCATGGTAGTTACCGTCTCATCAGAAAACCACACTAGCAACAGAGCGTGTATATTTTATCATATAGCAATATATGTAATCAGACTACTCCTTATTACATACAGTATAAAACACTATATACAGTGGAGCTATGAATGTGCAAAGATGGTAATAAATTGGATACCTTGACACTATATATAGTGGGTTACAGTATGTATGTGCAAAGACAGTAACGAAGTTGGTTACGTCGATGTAGCAATAGTAAAAAAACAACATGACGCTTTCCACGAGGGTTACCTAACGACGACGTGTTTTATGCAGTTTCAACATATAAAATTTTTTACACCATAGAATAGAATTAAGATCCAACAGCCTCCACCCTCCTTCAACCTCCACCCTCCAGCCTTCTTCTATCTCCAGACAATCACAAATCACAAGATCACATCCACAGATCACAAGAAACAATTTTTTTCTATGGAAAGACAAATCACAACAGAGGAAGAGGCAGCAGCACCACCAGTCTGGTGTCAGCAGGCAGGGCCACGCACGCACCGCCCGGGCGCCCCAGTGCTTTTCCACTCCACGCGCTGCCTCGGCCGCCTGCGCCTTGTCTGGTGTGGTGCAGGCAGGCACTGGAGGATGTTGTTGCCATGCACTCTGCAGCAGCAGCAGCTAAAAATTTTTATGTGTTTTTTATGCTAAAACACACGTGTGTTGTATAGCATTTCTGTTACACAAATATCCTTACCTACTAGGAATTCTCATTTTCTTTTAGAAGAAAGGGATTTGCAAGGCCAATTATGAATGAAGAGGAAATTTCAAATGTGCCTTTTTATTTATTTATTGTTAAGGATAATATACTAGGTATAATTATATTATGAAATAAAAATGCATTACGATAGCTGGTTTGAATTAAATAATGTGCCAAAACATATTCCAAGTCGTGTATAGGGCTTTTCGTGTGTGTCAGTAGCCACAAGTTATAGATATATACAGATATAGATATAGAGTCATAGATATATAGATGGATGGATATACATAGGAAAAAAACACCGAGGGCTAGTTTAGAAACTCAAATCCCCTTAGAATCTATGACTTTTTCTAGGGCGAGAAATCCATAGGAATATTATTTGAATAACTCATTTAGTTATTTATAGAGAGTTTTTCATTCCTGGGTATGCATTCCTCTTGCTTCTAAATTAGCCCTGACTCGTGGTTAGTCAACTCTTAAAGATAGGACATTTACAAGGCTAAAAAAATCGCAAACTCCACAAGGAAACTAAACGCGCTACGAGCAAAGATAGATGGGTGTCGAAATCGAAATAACTGAACGACCAAATTTGAGAAATATTTGTGGCTCCTCCGCCCACCGGTTCATTGGTTGCTCCACCCACTGTATCAGCGTGAACCACCGGCCTGCCCTGCCGACCTTGCTCGACAAACTTTGACCAAACAATCGGTTACACTCACACCTCCTTCTAATCTGCATATACCACCTACCAATCACCTACTTATACACACAATAATAAAAACAGGCCAAGTAATAATAAAAACGTGCTCTAGGGTCCTTAACAAGCCGACTTAGCCATTCTCTATTTAACCCCCACGGGGGGAATGTGATGGATGTCTTCTTCTACTTTTTCTGTGTGTGCCCAGTAGGGCTTTCCGGTCTTCCGAACCTTCCTGTACATATAAATTTCTTTTCTTGCTTAATTGAGAGGCAGTTTTCGGAAAAAAAAAAATCATACATTCAGCATGATGCTTCACAACAGAGTTTTGATGTTAGGTGGGCGATTGTATCCTGAAAACCATGAACTTGGCTAACTAGCATAGAATGGATTTTGATAGCAGACAGATAATCATGCATGTAACTGCAGCTCAGGTGATGTTGGATGGAGGATTCTCATGGAACACAACTGGCACATTGCCACCTGAACCAAGAAGCTGTTTGGTAGCAGTACCAGGGCATTTGCGGTTGCAGGGAATATCAGGTGACAGGTTCTCATCAGTTTAGCATATCATTTGAATCACAAAAAACACAATACACACTGCAAATTAACGAAAACATTGGAGCGCTTCGTGTATGATACAAAAGTAGAAGCAGAACGTCTTTTGCACAGCATCGTGAGACTGCCAGGTAAATCACATTGGAGAACTGCGGCGAGAAAGAGAAGTGTTCTTCGAAGCAAGAGGGCAGATGTCGGTCGACACCATACCACCCTGGCCGGTTGTTATTGTTCTCTGTTGGAATTGAAAACTGTGGTGCAGCAAGGCGTCGTTAAACATTGGGAGGTGGCCAGATCTTCCCAAAGAGCTCCTCAACGCGGCGTGCTTGGTTCACATATCCCTCTAGTCCTGAAGCAAGTAGTTCTTCTGCAGCTGGCCCCATCGCAGCTGATAGGCTCAACTGGTCCCACTTCACAAGCTGCATACATCATTTATCAGAAATGAACAATCAATCAGCATAAAGATACAAGATAAAAAGTAGAGAACTGATCAGTTTGTTTTTTCTTTTCTTGGCTTTATTTTGTCTTCATTAAGGTTAGCACTTACCGGAGACTTCTATATTTTCATCAAAGGCTAACAGAGAATCATTCTCATTTATCAATTCTGGAAACAGAGTTTTCCCTTGCAGAGAATTCTATAAAAGGATCCTACAGATATGTCCTGGTCCTTCTACAAATCTTTCTGCTACGATATCTCTCTATATTGGTCTAGTGGAAATGCACAGGTCTGGTGAAGACAATATAAATTTACATACAGCATCACACTTGCAATGGTTCCTATTGGGAACAATTACGTAGAGTACTCAAAGGTGCCCTTTTTGTAAAAAAAAAATCTAAACAATGCATGATTACTGATCATCATTAAGTTATTTGCCAATTAAGCGGTTCAGGACTTCAGATATGTGAATTTGGAACAAGATCCATGAGTGCACGAACCTCCTCTTCAGTGAAGTTGTACGTCTTGCAAAAAGCAGGAGTCAACTTTGGGACATAACCGTACTTCACATCAGGATCGGTGACAGATTCTTCCAGAGACTGCAATATCTTCAGTGGTGCAATGATGTAATCAATCCTACATTTAAGAAACATTAGTCCCCATGTTAGTGACCATGACTTGTGAATTTGTATCCAATATCCAGCAAAAACAAGTAATACAAAATTACCCCAGAAGGCTAAATATGTCCTGCTTGTTCCGTATGGCAGCGACCATCAACTTTGTTTTGTACCCATTTCTGTGAATATAGGCATATACTTTCTTCGCCTGGATTATAACCCACAAATATATGAAGTTATAAAATCTAGCTTAGTACCAGAAATTGTAAGTGTACTGTTGCTCATCTCTGAGAAGTAACCCCCTTATTGTTAACTACCTTAATACTAAGTGCCATAGTTATCCACTTATGTTAGTCTTGTTAATTACTCATTTATACTGCACTACCATAAGGAAACTAGAATACCAACACATTATCTGCTGATATTAATCAAATGATGGAACGATAAAAAATGACAAACGCTAAAACTGACTCAAAGATAACTCAAAATTACTTGCTGCAGCTAAGTACAAGAACTTCCAATCTATTTCTTTGTTTTTTAGCTTAGTAGTCAGGCAGCAAGCACAAAAGCTACTGTAGGTCAGTAAAGTTGCAGGCTTGAAGCTCCTGTTTCCAGACATTTGATTCTTCAAATTTCTTGTATATTGATATAATCATGCATAAATAACTAACAGATAAAAAAAGAACTGAAGCTAACCAAAGCAAGCCCAGCATCTTCTCCCTTCTTCAGAGCTTCATCTATCTCTGGATCACCAGAGTGATTCCTTGCCCAATCCTGGGTAGTTTGTGGTTAGCACAACATACTGTTTTAGAACAGAGTCATGGTAAAAGATGGCTTGATAAATTTACCCGCAACCGCCCCACAAATATCTGTACAACAGATGCACCAGCTTGTGCTGCCGCTGCTGCTTGTGCGAAACTGGGCAAGAATGGTCAACCACAAAACAAAAGATGTATATAAGCTCCAAGTTATTTTTCATCTTACATAAATAAGTAAATGCAAGACTAAGCAATTGAACCTGCGCTATTGCAGGTGCTTTAGTGCCAAACTTGTTATTTTTCATCTTACTAGTAAGCCTGGTGAATAACTACTATCCACCAGACAGACTCAACAGAATACCTCTCCATGTACTAATGTAAAAGCATAATATGATAATCTAAGAAGATTATCCCTAGCTTGTTTTCATGCTGCACTTTAAAGAAGGGGGTACCACTAATAAGCACCCAAAATATTGCAACATAGAAATGTTGCAAAGTGGGAAAATAACATCCATACAGTTCCCTGCTCTAGCCATTAAGCAATAGGATCAGGAGCAAATGATATAAAATGGTTTGCCATTACCTGTAAACAAATGTTAAATGTGTTTGAACTCCTTCAGATTCAAGCAACCTTGAGGCCTCTATGCCCTAATGGTAAACAAGTTGGAAAGGAAGATTTATAGAGACAGCAGGTACCGGCAGGCAGAACTTAAAGAGTAGTGCATTGCATACTTACTTGCCAAGTAGCAGGAATTTTGAATAGCAAGCGGTCAGTTGAGACATCATGCTGGTTGTATAGATTCAACAGTTCATGCACCTAAATATACAAAGATACCAGTTTTAAGGAAACTGCGACTAAGAAACACAGATGTTTTTCTCAAAGGATATCCAACCATGCTTAGTCACAAGCATCAGCAACAAGGGCATGAATAAGACCAATCTTAGGATGCAATTACTCAGGTAACATATATCTTAACATGCTTGTATGCCAAAGGGCGCCTAGCTCAAATGGTTAGGTGACCCAGCGGCACTCCTCAGGTCCTAGGTTCGACTCCCCGTGGGAGCGAATTTCAGGCTGAGGTTAAAAAAAATCCCCTTGTCCGTCCCCATAACCAAAGCACTGGGGGGGAACCGGCCCAATTCTCACTTGGGCGACGGAAAGCCACCGTGTAAGGGTGGGGTCGGGGGTTTTCTCGGCCGGATGAGAAGGTCCTTCTTCTTATTTGTAATGCTGCGGGAGCAGTCTTAACCCCCCCGGTCGAGTTTTTTTTTTTTTAACATGCTTGTATCCTCGTACTGAGGTTTAGGCCAATTACTTTAAACATTAAGTCACGATTTCAGTTAAACTGTAACACCATGACTAAAGTGTGATTTGTATGATAATTGGAACGTGAAAAAAAAATGTGTGGAACTGATAAAAATCAGTAAAATTGATCACTACAATAATAGCACAGAGGTACTGATAATCTGAGCATGGCAGCAATGAGAGGGATGCAGAGAAATTGAGGATCAATGACATGATTCTAAAGTGTGTTCATAGGTTACTCAAGAGCTAAAAATACATATTTTAAGTATCATAAGAATTGTTCCCCCAATATGGTCTCAAGTCTCATTAATCTGTAACAAGTCACAACTCTATATTGCATTGTAAAATTGTACATCAAGCTAACATACAAGTAACAAGTGCTTGTTCCATGAAAAAAATATTGATCAAATTTTCTGGTACAGTAATTTGATCAAAGTAAGGTTAATAACTAAGAGGTGTTCAACAGATATCTAAATAATTTAGTAATAGTACTAATCCACATGGTCATACTAGTACCATGCTGCTAATATATCCCCACTTCCCCCACTATCTTAAATCTATTCGGACCAATTTGGAAGCTATGCCACAAATAAGCGCTCTTTTTATCTTGACAGTACTGAGCTATCCTTGTACATATTTGCATATGAAACACTAACATTGGTAACATAAATAATATGCTGGAACAAAAGAGTCCTGTTATCACTATTATGTTTTGTTACATTGGAGTGTCACATACTCACATTGCAGGTTGTTAACTAGGCCAGATGCCAAGAAAGCTGACATATAGACACTGCCAGAGGGAACTTCTTAACCGCTTTGAGCTAACAAACTGGTAATGCTAACAGAAGGTCCATATAATTAACATAAGGTTGTTATCACTATAATGCTAACAGAAGGCCCATATAATTATTCAGCCCACTTTGGGAGTTATGCCACAAATAAGTGTTCTTTATATCTTGACAGTATCGAACTATCCTTGTGCATATTTGCATATGAAACACTAGCATTGGTAACATAAAAGAATATGCTGGAACAAAAGAGTGTTGCTATCACCATTTGTTTTTTCTGTACATTTTTTTTTTACATTGCAGGTTGTACTGCAGATGCCAAGAAAGCGGACATACAGACATTGCTAGAAGCCTAGAAAGAACTTCTTAACCGTTTTGTGTTAAGAAACTATATGCTAACAGAAGTACATACAATTATTAATAATTGTTCATTCAAGCATTACGAAGAGAGAGAAATAAAACATCATACCCTGTGGATAATGCCCTGGGTGTCATAAGCCAACCGAGCATCTATTTCAGTCGAAACGCGTCCAGGGACTTGATGAGCTAGTTCAGCGCCAACGTTTGCCAGAGCCTGCGAAAGTTCTTCTCAAATCAGCCCCTCAGATGCACGGAAGCCCCCACATTGCCTAGCTATATCACTATCACAGTGGTAACTGTCGAAATCTGAGATGAAACATGCAGACCTTGGTGAGGTAACAGGACATCCTGTCCTCAGGCTTCTCCAATGCGTTGCACTCACCATCTGCCAGCGCAGTATCTATCGCACTCTGCAACAACCAAACAGCCCCAACACGAACCGTGTCACTCTTGCACTGCAGGATTAATTGAATGGCTGAACATTCCAATCGCGACAGCTTCTCACCTTGAACTTGGTGTCTGGGAGCCCAGCGATCCCAAGCAGCAGCGACGAGCTAACAGTGGCTGCCGTGGGTGCGAATCTGCGATTGTTCGAACAGCACAATGTGCCAGCCTCGGTCAACCCACCCACCAAATGTCCAAATCAATGGGTCAACAATACAGAAAAGCAAGGCAGGAAGAGTGTTACCTCTCGAAATCATCGAACACGACGGTGTCCGGCACGATCTCGCTGAAGCCGGCCACCGCGTCAAGCTCAGTGACGACCTCTGCACCCAAACAGAGCGAAATCGGGAGTCAGGAAGGCTATACACGTCAGGAGAAGAAGCAGGGCACGACACGAGTGGAGGCGGGGCCGGGGGGGCCGGGGGGCAAGAGCAGTACCGCTGACCGGGGACGTGGGTGCGTTGCCAGCGGCGGCCCGCGCGGCCACAGGCAGCCTCCGGAGGCTGGAAGTCGCAGGCTTTGCCGACCGCGAAGTCAACCTGACCACCTGAAACAACGACCAGGAACAGGTGAAACCGGGGAACAAGATGGCCAGGAGGCGACGGCGGCGGCGAGCGGCCGAACTGCGCGAATGGGAGCTTGTTGGAGAGGATCAGAGGAGGGTAGACGGGTAGAGAGGGTGTAGTACCTGACGGGAGGACGGGACGAGGGAGGAGGAGGTGGGCGTGGATACGGAGAGCGCCATGGGAGTTGGGATCGGAGCCGGTGGACTGTGGAAGTGAAGAGGAGATGGGGAGTGGAAGAAGAGAAGAATTAGCGACGCTAGGATACGGAGGTACCAGGAATTAATTAATTGCTGTGTAATGACCAGTTTACCCTTTAGATGTTAAAGAACCTCTCATTCCAATGTAATAGGATTTTCACCATTTTGCGTTCTGATATCGTTCAAAACTTAGGTGGATATGAATTATATATGCAATGAGACTGGAACGTGAAAGTTTGGAATGCAATGATTTCATTAAAAAAAACATACTAGAATCGGTCTAATTTTACATAAAAATATAAATATGGGGAAAAATATGTGTTCTAAGTAGGACAATGGTTCATAAAATATGTCTCTTCCATGCACTTCACTGAAAGCCAGAATTAAATTTTGCATGACATGCTTCTCATAGGTTATTATCTAACAAATATGAGACAATAAGTAGTTAAGCATTACTCCAGGCATATAAATATAATAACAAGTTGACAACAGGTTACTAGTATTTAAATATTTACTTTTGGTGGAACTCTGAACCAAGGAATATGTCAGTGATGCAGGTTCCTAGTTTACTGTTCTAATTCAGTTCCTAGTCCAATTCTTCTTAAATCACACCAATATGGTTTACTCATGTAGTCATGTCAATCGCTGTTGGATAGAAAGTTTAAGATTTATTCATAAAAATGAAATGGCTAATATACATTGGTAGAAAGCAGTGGGCAGATTGGTAATTTGAACCTTGTCTCTCCCTGGATCCAGTGGTTTTTGTCGATCCATGGGCCTAGCCGCCTAGGCTTCGTTCGATAGAACCGAGGTGGGGCGATGAGAGTGACATGTGCATAGTGCACGGGAATATTTAAAAAGGATTTGGATAATCCATGACTCGCTCTTGATTGGATATCGGTGTCTTTTGTTCCATTCTTACTTTGGGATACATTATCATTTTTGGGACGATTTGACTTTATATGCGACCGAGCCCGATCTAGGGGCTTCTAAACTTTAGTCAATGTTCCATTAGATATTTGAACATACTTATGAAGTATTAAATATAAACTAATTACGAAATTAATTGCACAGTTTACGATTAATCTACGAGACGAATCTTTTAAGTCTAATTAGTTCATGATTTGACAATGTAGTGCTACAGTAACATGTGCTGATGACGGATTAATTAGGCTTAATAAATTCGTCTCGTGGAGTACTGACGGATTCCGTAATTTGTTTTTTTATTAGTATCCGAACACCCCATACGATATCCTTATATGACACCTCCTAAATTTTAGTCACTGGATCCAAACACCCCCTTAGTACACACGTATGTGAGTAAACAACACTTTATACTCAGTCCAAGCCAAGGTGCAGTTGTATACTTATATTTCGAAAGGTTTTCTATTCCCTCGTATCCTCAAATTATACTTTATAATTCATGTGATTGAAATACTTTAAATCCTAGAAACGGATTAGGTTTTCAAAGGGTGTTTTTTATGTTTATTTGATTTCTTGAACACTCTAAGGGCCTCAGCTGCTCAGCACATGTTGATTCGAAATTTAGAAACAAGATTATCTTGAATATAATTACATACAAAGGTGTATAAGGGACCAAAAGTTACCCAAAAAAGGGCTTCTATGAGCTAACCATATGGTTGAATGCATAAGCTACATTGAGTTAATATCTAACCTATCATATGGTTGTGAAGACTACTCCGTTCTTTTTACATGTCATACTAGTTTTTTCCAATATATTTCTATCTTTAACTATCATTTTTAAAAAAAAATTGTATAGGCTAACAACATAAGATTTATGTTTTAAAATTTACTGTAAGAAGTACTTTTCATAATATATGGTTCACATGTTATGAAACTAAATAGATTTTAAAATTGATAGTCAAGTTAAAAATATCTAACTTAAAACAAGCCTAATACGCCTTGGAAAAATGGAAAGAGTACAGATGAATTATGCTATCCAACGTTTTCGCCCCGATGAAGCCTTCCTCACTTTGCTTTTACTTTACGAGTTATTATTCGTCAATGAAGGAAGGAATAACTTGCGTTCACAACCTTCTCAGTTGCGTTCACAGCCTGATCGCTTGGTCGTAAACGATAGTAAATTTTCAGCTAGAATAATATTTTTTTCTCACACCAAACCAGCCAGCAGTAATAATCCACGATCGTATACGATCGTTTCAGCCCCAGCCGAACAGGTCGAAGCTTCCTTCTTTGGTTGGGGATGCAACATAAACTATTTTTCTCAAACATCTACATCTATATCTATATCTCCACTATAAGTCTATCTCAACATGCAAGTTATTCACTTCATCCACCACTAACTATCCATATATCTTCCCCTAATAACTATGTAATCCCACTAATTTTTCAATATTTAATTGCAAACTATCTGCATATATCATCATTTCCACCCAATTTTATTCTAAATTCTTCATAATCTCCGTAGCAACGCGCGAGGTATCTTCTAGTTATATTATATTTTTGAGCTTTGCCATATCAGACGTTGGCTATTTATTGTGATGATAGTTTGTCTAATATGCAAAAACCATGATTAATCAACCTGTCGCACTAAAAAAAAAAGAATTACATTCCAATGCACACAAATTCTTTTCGTAACTCTTGTAACATATAAGAATATTTACAATTATTATAAGACCATACGTTTATATTGCGCATCCTTGCCCATCGAACTCTAAAGTACATATTGCTTCTGTCTCAAATATTTTACTTTAACTTTATTCTAAGTTAAAAAAAAATCTGGTGAGTCTATAGAAAAACTTACCAACACATTAGGTTAATTGGATTCTTCTATATGTGTAGATAGTGTATTTTTTGGAATGTAGATGTTAACATATTTATATATAAAAAAGCCTTGACCTCAAGACAAAACTAAAATTAAGTTAAGTGTATAATTAGAAATGGATGGAGTAGGACACGATTAGAACCGCCTTTGTCTTATCGAAGTAAAGAACAGATGTACAATATACATGATGTATGTGACCTAAATAGTTTGATGACAATTTCTACTTAGGGCCTATTTGGACTAAATTTAGTAAAATAGGCCGATTAAAAAGGTGGAATAATTTTAAGGCTGCCTAACTATGTGTTAGTCGCTCTCAATAGTCCATATTCAATTATTCAAACATCACAGAACTAAATTTTAGTCACCTTAATTTTAGTTGGACTAAGAATTAGTCCAGTTAATCAACACAGGCTCTCATATACTAACGATCATGAATGGAAGGTAAAGACTAAAGAGATGGTGGTGCCAAAACAAGCAAGGCTTGTGCCCGATGAAGCGACCACGGATTTAAAACCCACTGTAGCAGTTGACAAATGCAACACGGGCGTCGCACTTTCTGATTCCGGAAAACGTACTTTCCTGTGATGGAGAAACGTAATCCCAGGATCGCGTCCACAAGCTAGCTTCTTCCCACGCGAACCCCGTATAACATTTTCCTTAATCCAAAACAGCCCACTGACACGCGGGCCCGTGCTGGGCGAGGCGCCCCGGGCACCGCCGCACCGGTCCGCCAAACAGCTCACGCCACCTCCGTGTCCCTGCGCGCGGGGCCCACGCTACTACATTACCAGTACTATATCCTCCCACCGCTTCGGTCTCTCTGCCGGGGCCCGTAAGCCCGTAACCCCACCCCGAGCCGAGGGCACGGAGGGAGAAGGGAAAGGAAGGAAGAAAGACGAGGACGCTGGACGCGACGCGAGGCCGAGGCGGGGGATAGAAATACGAGAGCGAGGGAGCGAGCGAGCAGCGAGAGAGAGAGGGACGAGAGGTGAGATAGATAAGCAAGCGGCGCGCCCTAACCCTAGCCCGTCCCCGTCCCGCCCATCGGCCCGCCGCTTCGCTCGCCGGAGGAGGAGCGCACCTGCCGCCGCGGGGATCCGTACGCGCGCCGGGCCGGACCTGACTTGCCGCGCCACCTCCGCGCGGGCGCGCCTCGGTCGGTGCGCCCCTCGGAACTCTCGCTCTATCTCCGTTCGGTTTCCTGACCCCCGCCGCGGGTGGTCGCTCGCGGGGTCTGGTTGGGGATTGGTCGGTGGTGGGGACGACGACGACGGGGTCGCGCGCGGCCGCTGGATCGGCCGCGGGTTCCGCCCTTCCGATGGGGTGGGGTCGCGTCGTCATTGGGGGGCGATCTGGAGGCGGGGGTGCGGGGGAGCGGTGGTTGCGCTGCTCCCCCGTGTGTTGCTCGACTTAATCTGGCGCCAGCCATCGGGCGAAGGGTGTTTCCCAATCCAGAATTGGCTGGGTGCAACTCGATTGTGCTACCGTCTGTCCTGATTCTGGAGACGGTAATCCAGAATTGACTGGGTGCAAGTCGATTGTGGTAGCGTCTGTCCTGATTCAGGAGACGGTAGTCCATAGGAACATTGGGATTGGGGATTGGGGTGGTGTAGGGGTCTCCAATGAATAGATGGTTCGATTCGGGGATAGGCTGCTCAGCTCGATTATCTGAATTTCCTGTGCTGCTCTTCCATATCTGTTGATTTGCTTACGCGGACATGTGTTTGTGCTCTTCTCTTGCAGGCGTGGCTGACTTGGTCCTTCTGATCCGGTGGTGACAGGCTCGCCACCGCGACGGAGCGATGGCGGTCGTCAACCCTAGCAACAACCCTGCTATGTTCGAGGACGACGACGACGCTCCAATTTCGTTCAAGAGGACAAGCAACTCTCTGAAGACTGCCAGGCCCACCCCCTCCAAGCAGGACGGGTCGTCAGGAGGCGCTGGGAACCCTGTTAGGAGCCCCAAACCTGTGGTTCCCAATCCACAGAAGAACGGCATGACCGGGGCTTCGAGACCAGTGCATATGAAGCCACCGTCGTCCAGCCCAAACCATCGGCCTTCAGGGTCTGGCCAGCCAAACAGTTCGGCACAACATAGTTCAAAGGGTAATAATAGCATTGACAAGAGTAAACTGAAAAGACCTCTTGTGAAAGATGAGAGGTCTGACGATTCAGATGATGAGGTGCCGATTGGGTTGAGGAGAAAGGCTGAGGAGAAGAAGTTGAAGAGAGTTGATACCGGGGTTCAGAAGGCGGATGACTCGGATGACGATGATAAGCCATTGAGTCTCAAGATCAACTCGTCCAAAATGTCTTCCAACAGCACGAGTAAGCCTGTTCCACAGAGGACTGCGGCACCAAAGGTTGAGCAGCCTGACGAAGATTCAGATGATGATAAACCATTGGCAAGCAGGTTGCCCAATAATGCCGGTCCAAAAAGTGGAGGTAATGTCTCTGAAGATTCAGAGGATGAGAGGCCATTGGCTGCCAGATTTTCAAAAGTTGCTGGCAGTGGAAACCTAAAAACAGCTTCTTCCAGCAAAGGGTTAAACAGTGATACAAATGGCCAACGAAGTTTGGGCAAAAGGCCTCTAGACAATAGTAATCAGACAAGTTCAGCTCTTAAGAAGGCAAAGCCTTCAAATGCTTCAGCTTCTGCAATCGTTAAAAGAGAAATCAAGACAGATGACAATGACAACACACCTCTTGCACAAAGGCTGAAAATGGGGGAGTCTTCGAAAGGCAAGCTATCTACAAAGAGTATCGTCAAGAAGAGTCCTGCTTCTGCGGCGAAGGACATAAAGAAACTGAAAGGGAAAGGGAAATTAAAGAAGAACATGAAAAATTCTCAGTTCTCAAAGACAATGAAGGTCCCTCCTGGATCTGGTGGAGGAAAGAAATGGACTACCTTGGAGCACAATGGCGTTATTTTCCCTCCTCCATACAAGCCTCATGGTGTCAAAATGCTTTACAATGGGCAACCTGTTGATCTGACACCAGAACAAGAGGAGGTGATATATTCATGTTCTTTGTTGCTTTGTTTCCAAATTTTTATATGTAAGCAACAAGGATGACGTAGTCATGAAGTAGCTCTGAAATCCAAACAGTTCATATAATTTCCTACCCTGTTAATTCTTTGTGCTGCAGGTTGCAACAATGTTTGCTGTTATGAAAGACACAGACTATGCGGGCAAGCCAACATTCATTGATAACTTTTTCACTGACTGGAGAAAAATTCTTGGTAAAAACCATATTATTAAGAAGTTCGAGCTTTGTGATTTCACACCAATATATGAATGGCACCTCAGAGAAAAGGAGAAGAAGAAGCAGATGACAACAGAGGCAAGTGTTTTTTTTTTGTTGAAACAAAGCTGCATGTTTGACTTGCTCTGCAGAATGCCCTCTCATTGTGATTAAATTGCTGTTATTTTCAGGAGAAAAAAGCATTGAAGGAAGAGAAATTGAAACAAGAGGAGAAGTACATGTGGGCTGTTGTAGATGGTGTTAAAGAAAAGGTAAATTTTTATACACTGACATAGTTTTATAATATGTGAGCTGATAATGTGTGCCTTAATCTATAGATAGTTCTCTTGGTCCCTTTTCTGCTGCTGTACTAGATTGATAGCTTTTACAAGGTGGGACTTTTTTTTTTCCATGTTAAGATTCTTGCACCAGATGTGAAGAATGGTGTGATGATGTATGATAAACAGTTTCCTCAGTAATAAATAACTGTTTGTATGACATCATTGTTGCACTTGCATATAAGCTACTGTTTCTGTGCTCTACTATTTCAAAATCATTTTGCCAACATTTCTACTTGATTAAATTATTTATTTGTTCCATTCCAGGTTGGAAATTTCAGAGTAGAACCGCCTGGCTTGTTCAGGGGACGTGGAGAACATCCAAAGGTACATATTTAATGTCTTGTAAAATACACGTGCCTTTCTTTGTCAAGTGAGTGCCATCTTTTTAGGCTTTTTTTTTACATTGTTTCAGATGGGAAAACTAAAGCGACGCATTCGACCAAGCGATATCACGATAAATATTGGAAAAGGAGCTGCAGTCCCTGAGTGCCCGATACCTGGAGAAAGGTACCATTTTCCCTGATCTGTTGTGTATAAACTGTGTTTGCAAATAGCATGCAAGCAGTGTTTGATTGTTCATGTGTCCTGCAGTTGGAAAGAAGTCAAACGTGACAATACTGCTGTTACATGGCTGGCTTTTTTGGAATGATCCAATTAGCCAAAAGGATTTCAAGTATGTTTTCCTGGCAGCAAGCAGCTCACTGAAAGGGCAAAGTGACAAAGAGAAGTATGAGAAGTCCAGAAAGTTGAAGGTGGGGAAGTTCAGTTTGTATATATGGAGGTTTTGAGTATGCACGTGCTGACGTACATATATAATTTTCTTGCGTGCCATTGGCAGGGTCACATACAAAGAATTCGTGGGAATTATACAAAGATTTCAAAAACAAAGATGTGACGAGGAGGCAAATTGCTGTGGCAACATACCTTATAGATAAACTAGCCCTTAGGGCAGGCAATGAAAAGGTACATCCAACTGGAACATGTGTTCGGTGGTTAGGAGTGATGTTCTAGTTTATTCTTGTGTTATTATCTATCTGTGATGTGTCTGGTGGCTATTTGATTTCCTACATTTGGAGTTTGCACATAGGTTCTTTTATTTATGCAAGCCTGGACATGTATGCTTGCTTTTATATGACATCTCATTGGCATCAGCAACACTAGAATTATTATTAAAAAACACTTTTGCACCAAGACCACTATAGGAAGGGTTAGCTGAGGCACTGGCCACCACAATTTTACATGCTGAGCTACTTTCTGAAGAAAATGTTTCTCATAGCATATAGTCATCACCTAAATTTTTTTACGCTTGTTTTTTTTTTGGCTTTGAGCTTCTTTGGAATATGTGCCAACATGACTTATTCTTGGTTAATATTTTAAATCATTTTCAGGATGATGATGAAGCTGATACTGTTGGTTGCTGTACGCTGAAGGTTGATAATGTTACGTGTATGCCCCCAAATAAGATTCAGGTATTGATTTTCAACATTATTCACCATATTCAGTCAATATGACTAGTTAATTCTGATGCATTTTGAGTATATGACTTTTAATCAACTTTGCAGTTTGACTTTCTGGGTAAAGATTCAATAAGATACTTTAACACCGTAGAGGTCGAAGAGCTTGTGTACAAGGCAATTGAGGGTTTCCGTGCTGGTATCTCTCACACATAATTCTCATTTTTTTCCTTTTGTTTTAAATCTCTTCTATCTCTTCCCTAATCATTCACTTCTGGTTTTATAGGAAAGAAGCCGGGAGAAGATCTCTTTGACAATATTGATACAACTAGGCTAAATGCTCATTTGAAGGATCTAATGCCTGGGCTTACTGCAAAAGTGTTCCGTACATATAATGCTTCCATCACATTGGACGGAATTGTAAGTTGAAAAGAATCTTGTCTTACTGGGTTTCAGTTGTCCATTCTTTCAAACTTCTTAGGTTTGCACGGATGCATAGAGCTGTTGATGTAAACATATTGTTTTCTTCCGTATTTTAGTGTTTATAAATGTTACTTGTACTTACAGCTCAACTTAATGCAAACAAGTAGTTGGTCAATGTTACACAGTTTGTCATATTTTCAGTTTTTTTGAACCTCTGATTTTTAACTTTCTGATAACATGTAAGCATGTTATTATGCTTTGTTCATGTGACTACCGTCCTGGTAGAATGGTCTAAGTGTATATGTACTTGTGCCGATGTTACAGTTGCATGAAGAAACAGAAGATGGAACTCTTCTAGAAAAAATCGCAGTCTATCAACGAGCAAACAAAGAGGTACTATCTTTTACTATGGGGGGGGGGGTGAACTAACTACTTGTATCATCATTCGTCCTGACTTTGGGCTGCCCTTTCTCGTATACTCAGGTTGCCATAATCTGTAACCATCAGCGTAGTGTCTCAAAATCACATGAATCCCAGATGATTAAACTGAATGAAAAGATTGATGAATTGAAGGTTTGGTTTCTGCTGCAAGTTATCAGCTCAAGTTTCTGCCAATAGCTTTGTGATTTCTTGAACTGTCTGACACACTTGCCTTTTCTTCTCCAGTCCCAAATGGAGGAGCTGAAAGCAGACTTGAGCAAAGCAAAGAAAGGGAAGCCTCTAGGATATGATAAAGAGGGGAAGCAAAAGAGGAACTTGGCTCCTGAAGCGTAACACCTCAATCACACATTTTGTTGTATTTTGTATATATTATTAAAACAAAGAGCAAGGTATAGACAACCTCACAAAACCCACTTGCAGGATTGAAAAGAAGATCGCAATGGTTGAAGGCAAGATAGATAAGATGGAGATGGATAAGAAGACAAGAGAGGATCTGAAGACGGTTGCACTTGGAACATCAAAGATCAACTACCTTGATCCTAGAATTACTGTGGCATGGTGCAAACGCCATGAGGTCCCTATTGAGAAGGTATGTTAGTTTCTGGTTCTGACAAACAATTGTTTTTCTCCAAGTTTCCCTGTTGCAAAGGCCTGCAGTTACTGAACCTGTTGTTCTGCTGACAGATTTTCAACAAATCTCTTATCGCTAAATTTGATGGGCAATGGACGCGTCGACCGGACTTCAGATTCTAGGAGAGCATTGGCCATGTGCTAGTCAGTTTGGCCCAGTTTCCAGCCCTTGTCCTTGGACACTAATTGCAGCTAGGAAAGGAAAGAGCTCGGTGTTGGTTTTTCAAAGTCCCCTGCTCCTGGAACGAAGGAAGCACCTGGCATTCTCTCTGTAGGCCCTTTTTTTTGTTTTCGTTTCTTAGTGTACTTGCCACCGTTCGATTGCGTTAAGTTCTGTATGCATTTTGCTGAGGAATCTGAGCTCGTTTGAGAACGGTCGGACATTCAATTCATACTGAGTTAATCTCAAATATAGATGACTTGTCGAGTGATGATCCCGTGGTCATTGTGGGACTGGAATCGTGTTTGGTTGAGAAGTGAACTTGCCTTGTCAGTTGTGAATTTGAGAGAAGTGCTGAGGGGTGAATCTGATCGAAGTTGAGTATGATATGTCAGCTGTGTTCTTGTTGTCTTTACGTCTCCAGCTTAGCATACCCGCCCTGCCCTGCCTGCTTGTAGCGGAAGTTGGTCAGCTTTTGCTTGTAGGCCTTGTCCTCCAAAGTCTTACAGCTGGTATAGACGTATATAGAGAACAAATGAAGGAATTTTGGTAACATAGTTGAAACCCCTCACAGACCACCCAAGCAGAACGGAAGCATCGTGTCATGCTACCCGTGGTCTTGGATTCAGATTGCGCTTCACGCCCTGCCTCCTCTATTGTCCCGTGATTGAGTCATCGCATCGGGTATTCCAGTGGATCGAGCCAGCTTTGGGTTTCTTTGGCGCTTCGCGCGCGGTCGCCCTGCCCGTCCGCCCCATCCCCAGCACGGACCAGATACAGAGCAAAGGCTAATCGCAGAGGCACCCACATGGATTTTTTTTTTAATTTTAGCCTTTTTTCGAAATTAATTTTAAATCTAACACCGTCGGTTTTTTTTAAACTAATACTTTTGGCCGCGCCTATTGTCCTGGCGCGGCCAAATGCCTGTGCCGCGCGGCACAGGGCTGACGTGGCGGCGACCAGGAGCGCTGACCGCTGATGGGGCAGGGCCTGCCGCGCCACCGCGCGCGGCAGTGCCGCGCCAGGGGTCATGGCGCGTCTGGGCCAAATAAAACCCCGCGGCCGAGCCCCCGGCCACACGCACCCCTGCCCGCCCGCCCGAGCCGCCAGCCAGCCGACGCGCCCCGCCGCCGGCCATCGCCCGCACCCACGCCGCGCCCGGCCACTCGGGCGGCCCGCGCCGGCCGCGCCACGAACCCCGGCGTGTCAAGGCCGCCCGCTCCTAAGGTACCTCCCTCTCGGTTTAATGTTATTATAATTAGTATTGTTTTAGGATAATTAGTTTGTGATATACGTATGTAGTTTTTAGGTTTTAGGTTAGGATTTTCGGTTTAGGGATTGATTAGGTATTTATGATTTAGTTTGTAGTTATTTATTTAGTTAGGGATTGTATCTGCTAGATCCGGTTTTTATTTAGTTTATAGTTAGTTATTTAGTTAGGGATTGTATTGAGCCGGTCGAGGGATCGTATTCCATTCGAACGTTTCGATCGTGGGTTCATCCCGCCGTGGCCGTAACGCTGAGCGTAACTGGCTTTGTCGTACTACGATCTCTAGTCTCTAACCACGTCCCTAGCACATAACCATGGAGCTTTACCTCTTTTGCGTGCTTGTTTATCCTAGCCTTGTGCCGATTTATTTTGGGTTAGAGTGAATATTTTACTTTGCAATGCTATATAATGTTAATTTGAATTTTGTTAATTTGAGTACTATAACACTTTGTTTATCAATTTGCAACAGGATGGCCCATCCCACGCAGCACCCGTTGTATCCCATTCTTGAAGTGGAGTACGACGACCAGCACCGAACACATATCTTGAGTGACAACGACGCAGAGGTGGCCTTGCCTCATTTGAGGCCCCGCACTCACACCAGGGCGCACCAGTGGGACGAGCGTTACGCGCCGTACATACGACGTGCCGGCTTCCTCGAGCTTGTCCGTGTTGTCAACCGCGGTCTTCCGCCCTTTGACCCAGCACTACTTACCGCAGCTGTAGACAGGTGCGAGTGCATTCTTTGTACGTAAACTTTCTTGTAACAAATTTGAGTCAACTAACAGTCGTTCTATAACAGGTGGAGGTCTGAGACCCACACGTTCCACCTACCTTGTGGCGAGATGACCTTGACGTTGCAGGACGTGAAGGCTATTTTAGGCTTTCGGTTGGGAGGACTTCCAGTGACAGGGATAGTTGACAACGATCACTGGAGGGAGCTGGTGGCTCAGTTTACTGGCTTTCTTTCATCGGACGATGAGAATTCGAAGAAAAATAAGTGAGAAATTCAAGCCTATTTATTATCTGCATCGCTTTCCTACAGCCATCGGCGTACAGCTGGGGCAGCGCTGTCCTAGCATGGACGTATCGACAGCTATGCGTTGGCTGCCGTCGCACCTCAGGGTATGCGGACCTTGAGGGTTGCTCGTACCTACTCCAGGTTTGGTGTTGGGAACGATGGCCCGTTGGGAGGCCCCTAAGTATGGGTTTACCGGTAAGTACTTGGTTCATTATATTCTTCGATATGGTTACATATGATGAATTTATTAATGGCTAATTCAATATCGTGTTCAATACAGCAATGGAACGGGCATGATACACTCCCTACAGCTCTGTTTATCTGGACGAAATCAGAGTTAGTTAGAGGGAATGCGAGGCGCAAGTACAGGGAGTACACAGACGGTCTCGACGTCCTGACACAGCACCAAGTTACGCTCTTTTTACTATCATACATGTGTCTTGTTCGATCTATATTATATCACAGCCTAACTCAATTACGAAATGTTCAGGTGTATTGGTGTCCTTGGGATGCTCCGGAGTTTCAGAACTATCTCAGTCCTGTTACTAGAGACGAGTCAGAGGAGTATCGCTGCAACATCCCTCTAATTTTCTTCCACGTGGTCGAGATTCACTTGGCCGTCAGGGTCTACAGACAGTTTGGAAGAATGACAGACTGTCCACCACCGCTTTACTCCACCAACCAAGGATTGCACAAGTGCGTTATCGATTCATAACAGAGCTACAATCCAGAGGTATGTGTGGTAGAACTAACATCGTTTTGTTGGAGGTATGACCGCCGGAAGAGGTATAAGATCAAGGATTGGCGCGTGACACACAGCGCGTACATCCACTTGTAGGAGACTAGGGAACGGCAGCCGGTCCATGCGGGTCCTCCACACGACCAGCACACCTTCGACGAGTACCTGCGCTGGCTTCACAGATCTATGAGGACACATATCAAGCCCCCGTACACTGAGGAGGCGATTGACGGGGACTCGGAGGAAGATATGATCGAAGATGTGTACGACGTTGCCACTAGAGAGGACACACAGCTACAGAGAGCCCCGCTACAAAGATACGTGGTAAGATACTTGAATGGTACAATTTGTTATCCATTTTGTATTAATTATGTATACTAAAACTGTTCAACCGCGTTTCTGAACCCAGGCGACACAATTGTCGAGGCTGTCCAACGAAACAGCGTACCGGCTTCATGAGTCGAGAGGGCAGGGGCCAGGAGTTCTCGAGGCTTTTGTGGAGGTAAACATAAACTAGTCCGTTCCGAAATTGTTTCTTTAGTGTATATGCGTTTGTGAAATGCGCTTACTTTAACGTCTATTTATGCAGAAGGTGAAGAAGAGCTGCAGGAAGCTAGCTCAAAAGTTGAGCTGCATGGACACTCCTTATGAGGAACCGCCACTTCCAACACGGTTGGGTGGTACGTTTTCAGCCTCTTTGAGGACGCCAGCCGGCTCTTCTCAGCCGGTGACAGGTGCCACTTCCGCAGTACGTACACCACCACATTATAGCGCTGGGAAGGACACTGCAGTCGAGGACGACGACGACGAGTGGGAAGATTGGCCGCAATACGAGATCGGCATGTCTCAGCTAGGTGGTGCCCCGCTTGGCACCCAAGGAGCATCACAGGTACTAACAAATGTAGTTTCTTTAAATACGTAGGCTACATGAACTAACGATCACAAATAATTCTAAGTAATCGTGCATATCACATACTTGCAGGGTACGAGCTATACGCACCGGCGACGCGACCACACCGACGTTGGGTACACTCCCAATGTGTTGCCAACAAATCCGAAGAGACAGAGGCGTCCGATGAATCCTTACACTCCTGGGTCTTAATTTGTTAGGTCGAACTATTATTGGGGTCCGAAACTTATAGTTTTATTTGGTTATGTTATGTCGAACTTAAGTCAAACTTATGTGGCAGCTTGTCAACTTATGTTATTTGCTTCATGTTCGTTTCAATGCGTCGCGACATCACTGCTTCCGAGATTAAGTAACAACTAGTTCAAAAAACGGCAGTCGAGGAAGCCGGTGTCCATGGTCGCTGCCGATCCTACAATATGGGGCAAAAAAACCAAATAAATAGTTCCCTTAAAAATATTCGTTTCAATCTGATTTAATTTTTTGTAATCGATTAGTTAACATGGTCGTTAACCGTATTATGAAAGACGGAAAAAATATCAATTGCCTTATCAATTTCTCTATTCAGCCTTAAAAAATGTTACAAAATATAGAAACAAATTCACTATTTATTTTACGTCAAACAATACTTACAATAGGCTTGCTGCTCGGGCCGGCATGACTGGCCGCGGTGTTTTATTTGGCCCAGACGCGCTTAGATTTAAAATTAATTTTGAAAAAAGATTAAAATTAAAAAAAAAATTCCCCACATGTAAGGGATCAGAGGGTATACATAGGGCTGTAGGCAGGAACAAAATAACATCTTCAATTATTAGGATTAGGAATAGAATACTGGAAGGATTTTACTTTCTTTTCTTTTTGAGCCCGTCAATATGAACCGGCACTACTTTTCAACCATGAAACAATGCTGTTCTCTCACAATAAATCAGCATCAGCAACAGCCGTAAAAACCATCAGCCGAACAGCATGAAGTGTCTATTGATTATTTCACAGTTTACGAGGCCGGTCCCGTGATTTTCATCCATCGGATCAAAAATCCGTCGCTTTCTCTCTACCTTCTCTCCTTTCCACAACGGCACAACCACTCTCTCAGCACTGGACCCTGATGCCAGTATATGCCACACGCGAGCCCAGCCCTCGTCCCCGTTGCTGCCACCTCTGGGCTGTCTGCTGACCCAGGCGGCGACTGAGATCCTTTTGGTCCGTATCAGACGATAATAAGTACGATATAAAGAGAAAGCCCTTATCTTTGCAAGTGGATGATCCCTATCTGACGATAATGAGTTCGCTAAAGAGAAAGTCCTCCCTCCTATTCTCCTCCAACTTTTATCCAGCTTAGATTTACCTCCACCATATTTTTTTTTGCTAAAAAACCATATTTTTTTACCTCATTGCCAAGGCATGACGATGTTATTAGGGTGAGCTCTACCACTAGATTTTTTATATGTTTAAATTCATTTTTGCAAAATTATTTGTTCAACCAAAAATGTGCAAAACTATATTGTCAGGTTCATAAACTCGGGGTCCCTAATGGGCCTGCTTCCCAGCAAAAAACTCGGCCCAGCAGACGACATTGCGGACGACGCGCAACTTCTGGGCCGGCCCAGATACCTAACGACAGGCCGTAAGAGTGATCCCGACTCCGACCCGCCTCTCCGACCGGAAGGCCTGGCCAAGGAGGGGCGACACTCGCTTCAGACTTCGACCCGCCTCTCCGACCGGAAGGCCTGGCCAAAGAAGTGCGACGTTTGCTTCCGACTCCGACCCGTCTCTCCGACCGGAAGGCCTGGCCAAAGAAGGGCGACGCTCGCTTCCAACTCCGACCCGCGTCTCCGACCAGGAACACACCAAACCTCTGTCTGCGGCTCTTTTCCGATCGGCGTGGTCGGAGCCGACTGAAAACAACCGAACGGGGATGCCGACCCGAGAAATCAGGCGGAGCAGATAAGGTAAGGCGCACAAGTCAAACCACAATACCGAGGACCGTACCCTGCACACCTGCAGGACAGTACTGTCAGGCCATGTCAGAAGGGTACTTTGCAACCTTCCAGACAAGTCAGGATACGAACAGTGTTGTGAGCGACGATATTTGTCTTACAGTATGGTAGGCGCCAACATTTGCCATACTAGAAGAACATGATGGAACCAACCACATGCATCAGGGCGTCAACAGTATTGTAGGCGCCGACAAACCGTCTCGTACCCGACAGCGTGGGCAACAAAACTAGGTAGCACGCACTCCCTCTCTCTCACTTGTAAGGCCGCGTCCCCTTCATCTATAAAAGGGGATGTGTCCTCTCCCAAAAAGAGGATTGATTCGACGAACAACAGACAACACACGGATCATTCCGACTCACTCTCTGCTAGCTTTAGACATTATAAAGCTACACAGAGCATAAGTTTAAATACTTAGCGCACATAGGAGCTCCCGTCACTCTCGGCCCTTCGGTCCAGAGTCCGACCGGACCTCTGATACCCCCTATCTTATTCCCACTCGTTTGTAACCCCACAACAAACTTCGAGCACCTGGGCTCAGGAATAAAGTCACCGACCGACTCAAACTGGACGTAGGACACGTTGCCTAAACCAGTATAAACCCTGTGTCATTGAGTGTTAGGCCACATCCGATCACAACGTACGACAAAACGACAAATATTTACTAGTTGGTCACTTTTCGCAACGACATATACTATTGCCGCAATTGAATTGGCAGGAAGTAATCTTGAATAATTGAGATGACAGATTTTTTTACTGCCACTTGAATTGGTGGATTTTTTTCTACACGATTCACATTAAAAAATTCTAACTTTATATATGAGCTCGGCTAAAGATAAAATTTATAGATCTTGAGGAGACTTATAATAACTTAGTAGTTCATGACTTTGCAACTTAAAGCCGTTTTTAATACCTAAATAATTGACATAATGTTCAGATTTTTATTTGTAGATCTAAACATTACAACAATTAATTTGGTACCAAGATGGTTTCAAATGAAAATCTTGTAAGCTATTTGTAAGATAAAAGTGATGATTTTTAAAGATAAGCCGGAAGAAAAATAAAATTCCACCAATTCAAATAGCGGTAACTGAAATCCAGCAACTCAATAGGCAAAAATTTCTTTCCACCATTTCAGTCGATGGTAGTAGTATAGTTTTGCACTTTTTGAATCAAACAAATATTTTTCCAAAAATAAATTTAACTTTTTTTTAGAAAAAATAAAAAAAAGAAAATCCCTACGACTAAGCCCATTAAGGTCACGGCATGGGGAGATGCCGCAGTACGGCCACAACAAATGGGTTGAAGGTGAGCCGAATAATCTGGTGGGCTAACATGGCAACACGTCCAACTAGCCAGCCCATATACCTGCCTAACTCGGTGGCCCACGCTTAACAACATCAACCAATGATGTTTGGAAATTCCGGTCCTAACATTAGTGAGTTTGATTTGTAAAGATTAAAATAGTAAAAGGTCCATTTTACCTCCCTGAACTTTCCTCGAAGTTTAGTTTTCCTCCCTGAACTCAAAAACCAGATAAACCACCTCCCTCAACTTTTAAAACTGTTCATTTTACCTCCCTGGCCTGGTTATAGGTGGTTTTCAAAGGCGGTTTTGTCTTTTTCTTTTTTATTTATTTTGGCTGAATACTTGAAAAATTATAGTAAATCACAGAAAAATCATAAAATAGAAAATCCAACTTTGTTGGATTCCACATGAGTAGATCTACACAGTAAACATATAATACAATATGCTTTAGTACAAAGTTTTTGTCGTAGCTTTAGATCTATGTTTTTCTGTAATTATTTCATAGCTGCAGTTTCTATGGTCCAATTATGATGAAATTTTTATGGCAGCCTAATTATTGTATGATTTAACTGTAGTAAAAATTTCATGCTCGTTTCTATTTTTACACACTTTTAACTATTTTTAAATTATTTAACAAATATAAAACTAAATAAATCTATAACTCAGTTACACATCATCCAATGAGCATGAAATTTTTATTATAGTTCAATCATATAATAATTAGCCTACCATAAAAATTTCAGCATAATTGGACAATAGAAACTATAGATTTGAATTAATTACAGAAAGACATAGATCTAAAGCTACAACAAAAACTTTGTACTAAAACATACCATATTATGTATTCACTGTGTAGATCTACTCATGTGGAGTCCATAAAAAATAGATTTTCCATTTTATGATTTTTTTGTGATTTACTATGATTGTTTTTTAAAATTCAGCCGAAATAAATAAAAATGAAAAAAAAGATAAAACCGCCTTTGAAAACCACCTATAATCGGGTCAAGGAGGTTAAATGAACGGTTTTAAAAGTTAAGGGAGGTGGCTTACCCGATTTTCGAGTTCATAGAGGAAAACTAAACTTCGAGGATAGTTCAGGGAGATGTAAAATTCAGTCTGTTCGCTTGTTGATTTCAGCCAGCACAAATCAGCCAGCCAACTGTGTTTTCCTCTCACAAAAAACCAGCACCAGTCAGCCCAAATCAGTACCAGCATCAACCAGCGAACAGGCCCATTGACTTTTTCCATTAAAATACGCAAGTAGATTATTAGAAGATTGACGTGCTTTTGGGCCGGTCCCAGGCTCTGGCATGGGTCTGTACTCTTGTGCTGTGCACTGGTGGTGGGCTGTCCTGAGGTGGGCTCGCCTACTTCTTTCCTCCCGTGTACATACCCCTCCAGGCCTCCACCGATCACCCTTCATCGAAACCTTTCTCTCCACGCTCCCTCGCTCTCGTGGCCTTCTCCTAGAAGCGACAGCTGGGCGAGCAGCGCCTACCTACGCTGGTCTTCGACTCTTCGCCGGCGACCACGAGCATCCACCAGGTACGACCCGCGCCTCCCCTTCCCTTCCCATCTATTAGCGACCCACTCCAGCCACCACCATTAATTAAGAAGCACAGCCAAGCATTGATGATTAACTTGATCCGACTTCCGACACAACCTAAACCTAGGACGAGCAGAGTTTAGGTCTTTAGGATAGGCAGCAAGCAGGGGGAATCGATGATAGGAGGAACAAAGGAAGGTTCTAGAAGACGCTAGAAGCAAAGTATCCGGGTACACGAGAGAGAGTAATAGCAAGCAAAGTATCGGGGTACACGACACGAGAGAGAGTAATAGCAGAGGAGGAGGAAGAACGGTAGTGGTGGAATACTTTGATTTTGTTTCTGATGATTTTGATGATGAATAAAAATTGTCTCGATGCCCTTTCGCCTTGCCGTCCACGCTCCTTTGTATATTTGGCTACTATATACTATGCCTCTGGTTGGCACTACCTGACATCCAGGGCACACCTGACAGACATTCAGACATATAGACACATGTCCCTAACACCACCCTATCCCTTCACGCTTTGGGGAACCAAGCATCCCAAACCCTAGAGTAAGCTATTTGTGTTTGTACCCGACCCAATTTGCATGGACATAATATGCATTATACACTAACTTCGATTTTTTTTTTTTGCAAATAAAATTATCGCGTGTACATATTTACACCTATATATATTGTACTGGCTCCGCCCCTGTCGTCTAGTTGTGCTAGCGATGGGGAGAAGGGGGAGCAGACTTTTGGCCCTGTGCAAAAATTGGGTGCTAATTTTGTCACACTGTTTGTGGATTTTCAGGGATCGACTGAACTGAAGGTCCCTCCTGTTCTCAATAATAACAATGAAGGTACCTCCTGGATCTGGTGGAGGAAAGAAATGGACTACGTTGGAGCACAATGGTGTTATTTTCCCTCCTCCTTACAAGCCTCATGGTGTCAAAATGCTTTACAACGGGCAACCTGTTGATCTGACACCAGAACAAGAGGAGGTGATATATTAATGTTCTTTGTTGCTTTGTTTCCAAATTTTTATATGTAGCTACAAGGATGACATAGTCATAAAATGATAAAATCGTTCCGAAATCCAAACAGTGCTTCATATAAATTCCTTCTATGTTAATTCGTCGCATTACAGGTTGCAACAATGTTTGCTGTGATGAAAAGCACAGAATATGCGAGCAAAAGAACATTTGTTGATTGATGGGATAAGTTTCTGTGTTGGCGGGTCTTTGTGGGGCTGCAGCATATGGTCCTTGTGGCTGTCCTTGTGGCTGCATGGTGGTCTTGCTACCCATCAAGGACAGCATCCTTGACTGACTAGGACAGCATCTTAGCATCTAGGACAGCTTCTTAGCATCTAGCATCTTGGCATATGCTTAGCTGGCTAGTAGCCTATAAATATGTATCCCCAACCCCTCAGGTTGGCATGGCATTTGTGTGAGAAATAAACCAGAAAATTGCCTCAACTCCTAGTGTCATTCTCTCTCGATGAGAGTAAGAATTCTGCTACTACCAAGAGTAAGAATTCAGCGACTAACATTGATAACTTTTTCATAGACTGGAGAAAAATTCTTGAAAAAGATCATATTATTAAGAAATTCAAGCTTTGTGATTTCACACCAATATATGCATGACACCTCAGAGAGAAGGAGAAGAAGAAGCAGATGACAGCAGAGGTAATTGCGCGTTTCTTTCTTGGGTTGAATCTAAAGCTGCATGTCTGACTTAGTCTGCACAATGAATTCTAACTTCATATGTCCTACCGATGTCCTCTCCCATTTTTTGAGTACATTTTGTACAGTCCCCTCTTTCTTAATGAAATGACATGCAGTTCTCCTGTGTTGTTTGAGAAAAAAAATGTCCTCTTATAGTGATCAAATTGCTGTTATTTACAGGAGAAAAAAGCATTGCAGGAGGAGAAATTGAAACAGGAGGAGAAATACATGTGGGCTGCTGTAGATGGTGTTAAAGAGAAGGTGGCTTTTTTATACACTGACGTAGTTTGATAATGTGTGTCTTAATTTACAGATAGTTCTCTTGCTCCTTTTTTCTGTTGTTGTACTAGATCAATACTTTACTAGTCAGGAATTGTTTGGTTAGTCATGTTAAGATTCTTGCACTAGATGCAAAGAATGGTATGAGTGACAATGTACGATAAACTGTTTCCTCAGTAATAAATAGCTGTTCCTATGAACCCATTATCATACTTGCATATGAGCTGCTGTTGGTATCTGTGCTCCACTAGTTCAAGAACATTTTGCCAAACATTTGTACTTAACTAAATTATTTTTTGTTCCAGGTCGGAAATTTCAGAGTAGAACCACCTGGTTTGTTCAGGGGACGTGGAGAACATCCAAAGGTGCAGATTTAATATCATGTAAATACACATGTTTTTTTCTGTTTCGAGTAAGTGCCATCTTTTTTAGGCTCTTTGTTACATATGTTTTAGATGGGAAAACTGAAGCGCCGCATTCAACCAAGCGATATCACAATAAATATCGGAGAAGGAGCTCCAGTCCCTGAGTGCCCGATATCTGGAGAAAGGTACCATTTTCCTGGATCCTTTATTTATAAACCATGTATGCAAATAGGTTCCTTACATGCAAGCAGTGTTTGATTGTTCATGTCTCTTTTCTCCTTCTTTTAATACAATGATACACAACTCTCCTGCGTGTTCGAGAGAAAAAAAAAGTTTGATTGTTCATGTGTGCTGCAGTTGGAAGAAAGTGAAACATGACAATACGGCTACGTGGTTGGCCTTTTGGAATGATCCCATTAGCCAAAAGGATTTCAAGTATGTTTTCCTGGCAGAAAGCAGCCCACTGAGGGGGCAAAGTGACAAAGAGAAGTATGAGAAGTCCAGAAAATTGAAGGTGGGGAAGTTCAGTTTGTATATATGGAGATTTTAAGTCTGCACGTTCATATAATTTTCTTGCATGTCATTGGCAGGGTCACATACAAAGAATTCGTGAGAATTATACAGAAGATTTCAAAAACAAAGATGTGACCAGGATGCAAATTGCTGTGGCAACATATCTTATAGATAAAGTAGCCCTTAGGGCAGGCAATGAAAAGGTACATCCAACTGGAACCTGTGTTCAGTGGCTATGAGTGATGTTCCAGTTTATTCTACAGTGTTAGGTCTATCTGTGGTGTCTCTGTTGGCAATTTGGTTTCCTACATGTCGAGTGTGCACATGGGTTCTTGTACCCTAACTTTTTACAGTACCTTTTGACTTTGTCCTTTTAAAAAAAATATGCCAACATGAGTTTTATTTGTTCTTAATTACCATTTTAAATCATTTTTAGGACAATGATGAAGCTGACACTGTTGGTTGCTGTATGTTGAAGGTTGATAATATTACTTGTATTCCGCCAAATAAGATTCAGGTATTGATCTTCAACATCTATTCACCATATTCACTCAGATATGACTGGTTAGTTCTGATGTAATCTGAATATATGACTTTTAATGAACTTTACAGTTTGACTTTGTGGGTAAAGATTATATAAGATACTTTTACACTGCTGAGGTTGAAGAGCTTGTGTATAAGGCAATTGAGGGTTTCCTTACTGGTATCTCTCTCACATACTACAATTTTTTCCGCTTTGTTTTGAAAACTCTTCTGTCTCTCTCTGTTTCTACCCTAATCATTCAATTATTGTCTTATATAGGAAAGAAGGCGGGAGAAGATCTCTTTGACAAGCTAGATACAACTAGGCTAAATGCTCACTTAAAGGATCTAATGCCTGGGCTTACTGCAGAAGTGTTCCGTACATACAATGCTTCCATCACATTGGACAGAATTGCATGTTGAAAGCAATCTTGACTCAATGGGTTTCTGTTCTATATTTATTCTTTCAAACTGCTTAAGTTTCCACCAATGCTTAGAGCTGGTGGAGTAAATGTTGGAGTTCTTCTTGTGCACTAGTACAATCTAGGGCATCTGTTATTATTGTTTTCTTCTGGTATTTTAATTTTTATAAATGTTACTTGTATACGTACAGCTCAACTTAACTGCAAATAAGCAGTTGATCAATGTTGCACACATGTACGCATGATTTTTTATGTTCCATTCATGTGCTACCATGGTCTAAATGTATGTGTACTTGTGCTGAAATTACAGTTGCATGAAGAAATAGAAGATGGAACTCTTGTAGAAAGAATCGCTTTCTATCAACGAGCAAACAAAGAGGTACTTTCTTTTCCTACTCAGGGGAAAAAAATTATAACTACTTTTATCATCATTCTTTTTGACTTTGGACTACCCTTTCTCGTATGCTCAGGTTGCCATAATCTGTAACCATCAGCGTAGTGTCTCAAAATCACATGAATCCCAGATGACTAGACTGAACGAAAAGATTGATGAATTGAAGGTTTGGTTTCTGCTGCAAGTTATCAACTCAAGTTTCTGCCAATAGCTTTGTGATTTCTTGAACTGTCTGACACACTTGCCTTTTCTTCTCCAGTCCCAAATGGAGGAGCTGAAGGCAGACTTGAGCAAAGCGAAGAAAGGGAAGCCTCTAGGATATGATAAAGAGGGGAAGCAAAAGAGGGACTTGGCTCCTGAAGCGTAACACCTCAATCACACATTTTGTTGTATTTTGTATATATTATTAAAACAAAGAGCAATGTGTAGGCAACCTCACAAAACCCACTTGCAGGTTCGAAAAGAAGATCGCAATGCTTGAAGGAAAGATAGAGAAGATGGAGATGGATAAGAATATAAAAGATGATCTGAAGACGGTTGCACTTGGAACATCAAAGATCAAGTACCTTGATCCTAGGATTACCATCGCATGGTGCAAACGCCATGAGGTCCCTTTTGAGAAGGTATGTAGTTTCTGGACAACATATGTTTTCCTCCAAGCTCCCTGTTGCAAAGGCCTGCAGTTACTGAACCTGCTGTTGCGCTGACAGATTTCAACAAATCTCTTATCGCGAAATTTAAATGGGCAGCGGACGTCGATCCAGAATTCAGATTCTAGGGTTTGGTTGCCATGTGCCAGTCAGTTTGATCCAGCATCCAGTCCTTCTCCCGGACACTAATTGCAGCTAGGAAAGGAAGAGCTCGGTGTTTGTTTTTTGAAGCCCCCCTGCTCCTTGCACCACTGAAACACCGGAGCATTCTGTTTGTAGGCCTTCTTTTTTTCGGATCTTATTAGTGTACTTGCCACCTGTCGATAGCGTTACGTTCTGTTTTGCATTTTGCTGAGGAATCTGAGCTCTTTTGACAAGGGCCACATTTAATTCATACCAAGTTAATCTCAAGTATAGATGACATGTTGAGTGATGATGGTCCCGTGGTCATGGTCGGGACTGGAATTGTGTTGTCACGAGATCTCGTTTGGCCGTGTAACGAAGTTGACTTGCTTTGTGATGGTACTTAAGTGCTGAGGTGTCAATTTGATCAACGTGAATCTGTCTCTGCACCGTGCTGCTTGTTTTACGTCTCCAGCTCTGTTGACTTGTAGTACACCGAGTTAAAAAAAAAGAAGACGACTTGTACACTGTACACCTCTACCTGCTTGTTTTACACTCCCTCTGTTCTTTAAACAAAGTCGTTTTAGACATCGATACGATGTCTAAAAAAAACAACTTTGATCACTACTTTTTGCTATAAAATATTATAAAATATAGTCAATATATACTTTTATAAAACTACGTTTCGAGATGATTCTACCTACGTAACTTTCACATTTTCAAACTCAACCAAAAAAAATTATTTGTAGTCAAAGTTTAAGATATTTAACTTAAGACAACCTCAAAACAACTTTCTATAGGAATATGGAGGGAGTATCTAGAAACGGAGGCACTAGCGCCCGGACATCCAGCGCCAGCAACGCGTCCGGATGCAGCTCAGCTAACCGAACCTTGGGCTGGCGTTACGGCCCACTATCAGGATCGTCCCATCTCAGCATCCCGCGTAATAGAGAAACTGAATGGACCGAAGCGCTACCTACCCGCGTAATAGGCGTAACAGAAAAGGGGAGAGCGTGCGCTCGCATCCGCGCTGCCATCCCCCGTCGCGCCCCCTCCACTGGCCCCACCGCGCCCCCTCCGCGGTTTGAGAAGGATGCAAGGCAATAGAAGGCGAAAAGGAGACACCCAACATACGTCTGAAGACAGATAAAGCGCTTGAAACATGCGTCTAAACACACTTGAAAAAAACATATGAAACACTTGAAAACCATTGCAACACATACACAACATTCAGATAAAATACTTGCAACATATGTGTGAAACATATGCAACATCCAGATAAACACACTCTCGACATACGTCCGAAAAAAATATATGAAACATTGGGAACAGACGTTTGCAACATATGTGTACAACCATTACAACATATGCAACATCACAATCTACTTTTACAACACCATACAAAATACTTGCAACATACCTTTAAAATATCCGAAACACTCGAAACGTATGTTTGTAACATGCGCTTTCAGCGCAATGGCACTTTGTTGCTTGGATGAATGGAGCTTGTAGTTGTGGAGCTCGACGCCAGCGCGGAGCTCGTCGGCACCTTGCAATTAGTGGGCTATCACATCCCACAAGAATCACTCTATTCTGGCATCCATATTACTATCCTAACCACTGCAGAAAAAAAAGCAAGCACGGCTTGAAATGATCCCAGCCGCCAGAAAAGCGAATGGAAATACAATACCAAAATTAGAGTAGGCAAAAAGAGGCCATAAATTTTTTATTTTATTATTTTAGAATTAAACTACTAGCTGACTTTGATCGAAATCAACGTTGATTCGCCTCGTTAAACTCTATTTAAAGCCGAACCTCAGAAAACATATAAAACTATAATAAATAAGAGTAATGCTAGTTTCGAAAAAAATCCTAGAAGAAAGTTCATCTGGCACATTATACACCCCTAAACAAATAGAATCACCCCGAGCAGCATTTTGAAATTCCGGCTCTTTTTTGTATATACTCGAAATTCTAACATTACCGAATTGACTTGTAAGCGTGTGTTTGGATGGAAGGTTGGACTGGGTCGGAGCGGGTTGGACCTATTTTCTGTAGTATTCGCTCCACCCCTCCAAATCGGAGAAACCGGGCGAACCCAGTTCCTGCATAGAGACGACGGTGCACAGACGAGCGGGAACGACGGCCATGTGGCGCCTTGAAGCGGCGGCGGCGGCGGCCACGCGGGCGCGCAAGAGCGGCAAGCCACGCGAGCACGTACGAGCGGTGGGCCGTGCATGGTGGAGCAGCGCGTTGAGAGCGGGCGGCGCATCGGAATCGAGGGGAAAGCGACGAGGGGAAGGAGGAAGAAAGGCTAAGACTGACGTGGGGGCCCCACTTGTTTGTCCAACCCATCTCAACCCAGTACTTCAACCAAATAAAAAATATGGGATGAACCAAACAAGAATTGGGTTAGAATTTTTTTTATTTTTAATCCATTTTTAATCAATATTTTAATATTAATCCAAAAAATGTATTTGCAAAACTGAACCTTTTGATTTGCGCCAGCGAGGATGGCGTGACTGGACCACTTTATCGCATCACATGTGCTGGCGCGACAAGGGGTGCCACGGTGGCCTCCATCGTTGACCAGAGCTGACGTGGTGAACAGTGGGGCCCGTGACTAGGCTGATGCGCCAGGCGGGCTAGCGCGACATGCCCATATAAAGGGCGCAGCTCAGCCTCTTTTTCCTCTCTCTTCTCGCTCCCTTCGCTCTGGCCGAGCACGAGGTGAGCTGACTTCTCTCTCTTCTCTCTTTTCTCTTCCTCACATCCTCTATTTGCCTTTGATCAAGTTTGCATTTTTGCATTTCAGATTTGATCGGTCTCGTGCATGAGGTATGACTCCCTCACCTCTGTTGTTTTTTTTTGTTTAGTTGATTTTTATACACTGCTCTGGTTTACACTGCTGTGTGCAGTACTGGCTTTTTTTGGTTTAATGAAAGTTGCTTTGGCTAATCACGTGTATTATATTATGGTTCATGTTGTAGTTGTTGGACTTCTATGTTTTTTGTGATTGGTTTTGGTTGCCAGTGCATTAGGGTTCCACTGCACTGGTTTAGACAGCACCATGGGTTGGAGTGTTGTTAGTAAACTTGCTTTGAGGTGTGTGATTTGAAGTTTTTTTTTCGGTGAGTAGATGAATACATGAGTTGGACTATGTATTTATATACATCATTTACATTCAATAAGTTAGTTTTAGAGTTTGGCTTCATGGGTTTACATGATTTTAGAGATGATTGAGATGGAATTGTTGTTGAACTGTATAATAGTATTGGTTCATATCTTTGCTTTGTTGAACTACTTTGTAATAGATTCAATGGCGATTCCAAATGACAACCAATTCGTGCACCATCCGAAGGATCATGGTGCTATCGGTCCTTTCCTACCAGGAAAGCCAACACCATTGTGTTACTGTGGGTTACCGGCATTTGTGAAGCAGTCAAGGCATCCTGCCTCAGCAGGGCATTGTAACGTCCCGCCTCCTCGAGGCCAGGCCCGCTTACATCTGATAGCTTTCCTAGGACATAGACTGCTCTCACAAACCAACACCAATCTTTTTTGCGCACTTTGTCCTCACTCATGCGCCCCCAAGAAGAACTTCCCGGTCGGTCACCCATCGCTCCAGGCCAAGCACGGTTAACCTTGGAGTTCTTAAGAGATGGGCTTCTAGAAAAAAAGTTGCAACTTGTTGGTACGAGTATCCTATTAATCCTATTAAGCCCTGAGCCGGGGTGTTACAAGCATGCTTTCTACTGTTGCCAACTTAAGCGACATCCCCCAACACTTGATGCCTACCTAGAGGGATGCAGCTTCTATCAATGAATTGACGGCAATGAAATATTTGATCCGTCGATTATGTTGTTTCCTTATGACCCTTGGAAGAGCGTCCCATATTCGGAATTTGTTCGTTGGGTGTCGCCGCCACCTAACACTTCGAAAAATGATAGAGGTGGAGAAGGTTGACGCTATTTTGCGCCATCTAGCCAATCCTCCTAGATGCAATTGTGGAGTGTCAGCGCTACTAACTACTCCCAGCCAATGTGGAGCATTCACTGTCTTCTATCGCTGTGGATTGCCAGATTATGTAAGTTCTCATTAAAGCAATCTATCTCTAAGCTTGTATGCATTTTGCACATACAATGTTACACTTGGAACATTTGTTTTTTGCAGAGAGAGTTCCCATCTTGTGAGTTTGAGGAGTACAACTATGGACCCAAATCGCACTGGCCTTCTAAGTATGAATTTGCGGAATTTTAAGCAGGCATTAAGCCATGGCCATGCACAAAGATGCCGGACCGTAAGTGCAAGTGTGGCATCAAGGCTCGCGAAGGAGTTGTTCCGTCTGAGCCAGGACATGGATACTATTGTGGCAATGCTTATGGAGGGTCGTCTGAGTTATGGGTGAGTTGACTGAATCGGTGAAGTTACTACATGAACATAGGCCATCGGTTTGTTCGCTCATTGCTTTGTGTTTGCTTAGGTGGGTATGACATGCGATTGGGAGAACTACCCTGGTCGCGGAGAGTTACTAGAGAGGCTAAAGATACATTCGCCTCTCGAAAAAGATAGGAAGCGTTGGATACGGGAGGAGAAGCAGATAGAGGTGAGGATGAGGTACGGGGTAGAGATGCCATCTTGGAAGACCTGTAATAGGATTTTAGAGGACTTTCCTCGAGTGATAGGTCGATAGTTGAATTTTTACAATAACGAGGCCGAGTTGATGAGCTTCTGGAGACAAAACAAGGAGGACTATGACTTTAAGGAGGATAAGGATAAGAGGGATATGGCCTTTTTCCACAGGCATTTGCGTCGCTTATGTGAGTAATTGATTTCAAAATTTGTTTCAACTTGTGCATCTTCTTATAATTGTTCCCAATGAGACATTGTTTCGTTCTTGTAGTCCCCGATGATGCACCGATGAGTAGTGTTTCCTCTCAACTGATGCCTACAAGGTGCAGTACATATTTTGCAAATGTCAATAGGTTTGGCATTACGTAGGTCTTGTATATGGTAGATGGAGGACTAGGTACGATAGCGCTGCTTCTTTTGTGCAAAGGCAGCAAGATCCGTACATATTTTGCAAATGGCCATGGGTTGCCATTTGGTAGGACTTGTTTATGGTAGATGGAAGACTAGTGTTAGTAGTAGTGTTTGTATATGGTACATGGAACACTTATGTAAGTGATGATGATGATGATGACCTTGAGTTCTACGAACAATGCTTCGAACTCCTTATCGTGTGTAATGC